CCAGCACTCACATGGTTAATCTTCATGCCTGCAGCTTCACTCCCTTTTTTGCACTGTCTAACTTTCTCCCCCCCCTCTCCTCCCCGCTTGCCTGCATTTCTACTGATAAGAGTATAAGGTACTGAGGATTGTGGGAGTGACGAGCTCACAAGATTGCATTCAGTGTTGAATACGGGATTTAGGAAGGTGTAGAGGGAATATGCGATGTTAAGTCAGTATAAGAGGAGGAAAGTGATTAATGGTTTGAGGAAGATAAGGGAAATTGGTTGAATTCCGTGAGTTTATTTTGCATCATTTTATTATTTTAAAGTTATTTTAAAGTACATGTTTCTAGAAACAGCTGTATGGGCTGTTAAATGCATAATGTTTTCAACTGTCTTATTTAACCTGCCAGGTCTGTTCATAGTTTAGTATTTCATTTTGCAGAACGGAATGTTGCTTCTCTGACTTATTTTAATAGTTTTAATATAGTGTATTGTTGAAAGTGCGTCAGTCACCACCCTAAAGATGGCGCCTAGTACAGAAGGAGGTTGACCCTGCCAGTCCCGTGACCTATCTACAGTCACGGTTGCTTCTAAAGTGACGTCACTTCTGCCCTTACCATGCCCACACCTCCTGTCTTCCTTTCCCACACATATCATGGACGTCACCCCTCTCACTTCCTCCCTTGCTGTCATTTCCTTCCCCCCCCTGTCATGGCTGCCTCCATCATGAGGCCTACCCCTATTATGCTCGTCCCATTTAGAGACATGTTGTTTTCCTTACACTCTACATATTATGAACTGAAACATTATAATTACTAAAACAATCATGCCATTTGTTTCCCTGTATCAGCAATTTGTCCGTGATATAAAAAAAAAAGAGAAGGTTGCTAAAATGTAATTTGCAAATGTGGTGTGACCTACAAATGAGATCTGTTGGACACGAATATAAGAGCATAACAGTTGATTATCCAGCTTAATCTTGCAACAAGGGAAATAGCTAAATAATGCAAGTTATTTTAAACATTGTATCTTTACTTAATCGAATCTTGCTAGTTACAGATCGTATGTTTACAGTAACATCCTATACGTTAAATGATGGTTTAGCATTAGAAGGATTAGTGACATGTTTTATTAACCCAGCCACTACTGGTTATTCATTTTAGTTACAGGGTGGTATAATTGTTATAGTCTAATTAATATAAATGATAGTACCGCAATAGTTAATGTTTTATCCAAAGACATTTAGGAACTTTACTTCACTTACTATTAACCATTATTTATAATGATAGACATGTTCAGACTGCAAAAAGCTATGGCTAATGACATAGAAAGGGGTTTGAGTCAGTAACACAGCCCATACAGAGGAGAGCAAACCCGCTGATGCTTAATGCCCCTGCCATGGCAGTGTCTACAGGGAACAAGGGGGGCCACTAGCCACTGTAACTTTACCTATTGAAGGTCACCCTACTACTTTCCTGGTTTCCTGGTTAACACAGGTGCATCCCGCAGTGTTCCTAGAGAACAAGACCTGCCTGACTCATCGTTCCTGCCTGTCACCGATGTCTCTTGTGTTGGTGCTGATGTCCTATCCCGCCTCCAAGCATCCATCACCCTCACTGCAGACGGCCAGGTTCAATTAAATACACCTTTGTCACAAAAAGACACTACAGTTCTTTGTTCCCTTCCCATTTTACTGTGGAGATGATCTACCCACAACAGAACAATGCTCAATTCATCTTCTTTACTATCTAGCAGAACAAGGATGTGAAGCTTCACGTCTCAAGCTGCAATTCTGCCAACCTACTGTTATCTTCCTTGGCCATTGTCTGTCTCAGGGAACCAGACATCTCACTCGTGACCGAGTTAGAGCAGTACTGGACATTCCACCTCCAAGGACCTCAAAGTCACTACACGCCTTCCTAGGCCTCATTTCCTATTGCCGAGCATGGATCCCAGAAGCCTCGCTCCTTATGCAACCTCTTTATGATGCTCTCAAGTCAGACCCATTTTGCTTGTCCACAGAAGCCCTTGATAACTTCTGTTCTCTCAAACGTGCTATTGCTTCTGCTCCTGCTCTTGGCCTACCAGACTATACCAAACCCTTCAAATTGTTTGTTTCTGAAAGACAAGGCCATGCAACAGGAGTGCTCACTCAGGCCCATGGTCCTGGAGGCTGCCAAAGGCCTATTGGATTTTTCTCCTGCCAACTGGATATTGTGGCCAGAGGACGTCCCTCTTGCCTTCGGGCCGTCTTTGCTGCCAGAGAGCTCATTGAAAGAACTGGAGATCTTGTCCTTGGCCACCCCCTGGTTGTCTTGGCCCCCATGACATTTCTGCCATAGTCAACCAGGTCCAACTTAAGCATGTTACTCCTGCTAGGCATCTTCGCCTTCAATGTCATCTTTTGTTGCCTGACAACATTACCCTCCAAAGATGTCAAGTTCTCAATCCGTCCACTCTTCTGCCACTCCCTGAGGGGGGTGTATACTACGGATTCATCATGGATGAAACTTATGTTTTTCTTCTCACTGGCACTATCAAGAAGGAAATGCATCCCAACCTATCCTTTCATGATGGACAAGCACTCCTTCATGACGGAGCAGGATATGCCTTCTGTACCATGTGGTACAAATCAAACATCACTCCTGAACCCTGCTATGAAGATGAACTCTATCATCTGGTCGAAGTAAAACTCACTGCACAAGACTTCTACTGTGATTCTGAAGGCAACAGTATGGTCTTGATTCATCTACCTCCGGAACTCAAGCATTTGTACCGTCATTGGGACACTGCCATTCCACATGTCCCTGTGACCAAGTTGAAAACAATATCATGGAATGATCTTGGGCCTATGGCAAAAGCATGGGCCACTATGGACGAATCACAGCTACAGGAAAATGGTGTTGTCAAATATCCAACAACTGACCACCTAAAAGCATGGCCGCGTCATTTCCTGGAGAATGAGTTCCAAGATTTAACCATAGTGAATGACTACGACCCAGATACACCTCATGACTGTTTTGAACAGATGAAAATGGAAACAACACATCTACCAACTGTGCATGAAGACCCATTGGTAGATCCCGATCTCACCCTGTTTGTGGACGGCTCAAGATATGCTGATGAAGAAGGAAGATACCATACAGGATATGCCGTAACCACAACAGATGAAATTGTCAAATCATCATCTTTACCATCAACTATGTCTGCACAAGAAGCTGAATTGCAAGCCCTGACTTCAGCATGCAAGATCTCTGAAGGAAAGCGCGCCAATATCTACACGGATTCAAGATATGCACTGGGCGTGGCTCACGACTTCGGATTAATTTGGAAAACAAGAGGATTTCTTACCACCGCCGGTACACCAATCAAGCACGGTTCCGCAATCAAGGAGCTGATGGACGCCCTCCTACTCCCAGAAGAAGTGGCTATTTTGAAGATAAAAGCACATGGGAAGTTGGACTCAGATGAAGCAAGGGGCAACCATCTAGCTGATCAGGCTGCAAAACAAGCTGCAAAAGAACCACAGGAAGTGGAAAGAAGAGTGTCCGGAAATGAAGAAACTCCCATATTTACTCTGCAGACTCTTCCAACTGACCTGAAAATCCTGCTGGAACAACAGGCTACAGTTGCCCCTGAAGAAATACAGAAGTGGAAACAGAAAGGGGCAGTTCTGAAGGATGGAGTGTACTCCAACAACCTCAATTTCTGCCTCCCTAAGAATTTGTACCCAGCAGTCGTACAATGGGCACACGGACCTGCACATTTATCAAAGGATCTAATGAATGCTCTTGTACAAAAATACTACCTCACTGTCCCCATATGAGATTCTATTTGGGACTGCACCTAGGCTAGGTTGCTATTTTCCCCAACAACTACAACTTCAAACTGATGTTTTTGTAGATTATGTAACTGAACTCGCAAATGCTTTGAACAAAATCCATGCCCAAGTTTTCTCTTCAATTCCAGATCCTGATTCTGACACAGGCAACAACAGTCTGCTCCCCGGTGACTGGGTTCTGGTCAAGAAATTTGTGCAAAAACACACCCTGGAACCAAGATTTGACGGACCGTTCCAAGTTCTCCTGATCTCCCCTACCTCTGTCAAATTGGCCGGAAGGCCTAACTGGATCCACGCTTCCCACTGCAAGAAGACACCTGCCCCAGAGGAAGCTAACTCTATGCAACCATGTGACTCTGGTACATTATCTCCTTAGTTGGCCTCCTTAAAGCCCAGCAGGTGGCCATCACCAAAGATGCTAGTGGGTACACTTTCTGGTATAATTCATCATGTACCCATGTGGCTACATTCACTTTTGATTACTGTGATATTGTAGAATGCCCATTCAAGCCATTTATAAAGATATCCCACAAGCAAAAGACCCTTACGTTTGTGTAGTAGATGAACAATGGGGTTATGACTGTAACTACTGGGGGGCTGCGGGATGGAATACTGGGCCTGCCTGGGGTTATAAACCCAAAAGTGCTTTATCTAAGATAGACAATCAGGGTAGATCCCTCCTTCAAAGAATGACTTTAAGAAAGCCTGGAGGAAGTACCCCTATGAAATTAATGTTAAATATTGAACATCCTGGCCCCGAGGATGCAGACCGATATGTAATGGGAATGTATTGGAAGAAAGGTTCCTACAACAAATTAGGTCATTTCTACCTCAGAGATATGTACCACTCTCCAGAGTGGCAAGGGGCTGATCATATGGTCCCAAATCCGCTAAAACCACATATCCAGTCCTTTAAAGATATGATGGCCATCGCTAACCCCACTTTTGAAGATACCATGGCCGCTGAAACTGGATTCAATGACATTAATTTGTGGTTAGAATGGATGAGGTATAATGCCAACAAACATAATAAAACAGCATGTTATGTATGTGGCGGTGCCCGACCCCACCTTGGCACCGTCCCCCTAACTCTCCCTTTAGAGATAGAAGATTGCTTCTTAAGCCTTTTTGCCTACCAATATGACTTTAATAGGTCCCTCTGCATGGCATGGACGGCAGAATACCCTCTCTTAGTTGAAAATGTTAAGCCACCAGATGGAATCACAGTCTATAGAGGTAATTACACTTGTTATGCCGTGTATGACGGGATTGGTAAATTCATGGGTAACTTTTCTAAAGGTTATTGCGCCACTTACAGAACTGTTCCTATACGCCTGTTGCAACACCATACCAGGTCATTGGGGGATATTTACTGGTTATGTGGGGATCTACAGTTAAGATCTAGGCTGGAAACTGAGTGGTGGGGTGAGTGTACCCTGGCCAAAGTTATCATGCCCATTCATATTATTTCTGATAATCATCATGACACATACGACCCTCCACATACATCAGCCAGAGTAAGGCGCGAAACCCCAGTAAAAGGCAGTTTTGACCCCCACATTTACATAGATGCCATTGGGGTGCCTAGGGGGGTACCTAATGAATTTAAAGCTAGAGATGAAGTAGCTGCAGGTTTTGAATCACTTTTTACCATAGTCACTGCCAACAAAAACCTTAATTGGATTAATTATATCTATTACAACCAACAGCGCTTCGTGAACTATACCAGGGATGCCCTCCAGGGCTTGGCCGAGCAATTACAGGCCACATCCCAAATGACCTTCCAGAACAGACTGGCCTTAGACATGATCTTAGCCGAAAAAAGGGGAGTCTGTAAAATACTTCCCGACACTATGACTTGTTGCACTTACATTCCAGAAAACACAGGTCCTAATGGTAAAGTCACTCTGGCCATAGCTAAATTAAATAGACTCTCAGAAGAGTTAAAGAGAAACTCTGGAGTTACTGATCCCTGGGAAAAATGGTTTGGTTGGATGACTGGTTGGCAGAGAGCTTTAGTCCAGATTGGTATTGCCTTACTAATTTTTCTTTTTATTCTCGCTCTTCTCATTTGTTGTGTCCTCCCATGCCTAAGGAAATTCCTGCAGAAAACTGTAGACCAAGCAACACCAACCTTCACTCATCTGACAATCGATGATCAAGACCTCATCTCACCCTGTATTCCGCTACAAACTCTCCCTTATACTGATGAAGTGCAGAAAGTCTAGGAAGGGACAGTACAGGGACAGCGTCCGTCTTTATGGGTAGACTGCCGTACGGAGAAGTAGTGGATAAGCCACTATGGGTTACCAGCGGAGTGAAGAGTGTTCCTGAACCGTACTGACGGATGTGCTGCAGCCTGTTAGGGTCAAGAGAGGGATAGACTTGCACTTTGCATTAACACTAAGTCAGCGGTCATGGGGTTTCTGTGTCTTTGGGCTAATACTTCTTCTGATACTAACAAATAAAGTTTTGTCTTTTAGCAAATAACATTTTAGGGGGGACTGTTGTAGAATTATTAGGCCTCTATAAATCTGTAAGGCCCCTTTAAATCCTCTTGCTATACCTCTAAGAGGCCCCCATAGTTTTACAAGAAAGCTTTGTCTATAGAACATAGAATTTGCATGTCAGCAAGAAATAGCTTTGATAAAATGTGTATTTACTAAAAGCCTTGAAACTTAACCTTGAGAAACTAACAAGTGCCAGCTACGCTCTAAATGGATAGCTGCCAAAAGGCCCCTCCCGTCCAGTGAACTCCTCATGTTAGCAAAATGGCGCTAAAACCTGTAGGAGTTAAGAAATTACGTAGATAGTGACCTAAGAATGGGGAGGGCATTTTACTAACATCTTAGCACCTAAGCCAATTAACAATGTCTATTTGTCTATATCTTGATTTTCTTCAATGATGTAATAATGCCTTTATAAGGGTCTGCGCACCCATTTTCTGTCAGAAGCCATTAAACTTCTCTGAAGTTCTTTCATTACCCTGAACCTTGTGTCTCAGTGTGAATTTACTTCTGCGTGCACGCAACTTTATTATCTTTAATTTGGACAGGAACAGATAGTCATTCAAACTAATTGGTTTGCAGTAAATTATATACGACAATTCCATGTGGGGTCTAGGACCTCATCATCCTCCACAACATCTTCCACCCACTCCTCAACCCTGTCCTCCTTGCCGGTATGCACATTGCAGAAAGCCACAGCAGTTGGCACCTGTGTTTTTCCATCATGTAAAGTGTGCAAAGGACATATGGAAATTGTTTTAGAATTGTATCCAGGCAACAGTTTTCCCTATAAACTGACCTCTCAGTTTGACTTGTGAGGGTATTGCCCCAGAATTACAATATTGTTTAAGTACCTCTTAGCTATTGATAACTGGTTTAAATATAGCAGCTTGTTATCTGGTAGTTTCTAGTGTAGAAAATATCAATCTGTTTTCTATCACTTAGATCTGTGTAACAAGTGTTGTAGGTGTGAAACAATATTACAAGTGACCAATGTAGTAAATTCGAATCAAAGTTCCATTTGCAAAAAAAATTCTCGCCCATCTTCTGTGGGTTATTGCATTTTTAAGATGTAGACTTATTGTATCACACTAGCCATGCACAGGTAGATTGTCTGGCACGTTGTTTTGATGTTTGGTTTTTAACTTTGTAGTTGTGTCTTTACACAATATAGAAATGTATATTAATGCTTCTGTATATGAAGCGATCACAATAACACTTATTTTTCACTTTTTTTTAAAAAAAATCAGGCTAAACAAAAATTGGTAATTAACAATATGACATCTGAAAAGCACATGAAAGGATGCTGTATGATTTAAAAAAAAAAAAAAAAAAGAAAACACTACATTAAGGTCCTGTTAACTAGAGTGTGTAGTCATGAATGTAACCAGTAAAACTTTGTTTTTACAGCCACTGGTTGGCCCATACATATTTTAAAACCTGTTTAATTTTGTTATAGCATGACTTGTAGTCTTGTTTTTAACTTGTCTATAATACATATTTTTGTATGACACTTAGTGTGTTTTTTTTTTTTTTCATTGATTATTGAATTTTAATGGTCTAAGATAATTAACATGTCAACAGGCAAACATAACCCGAATGATTTGTCTCAGTCTTGCCTTCTATACTACCTGTACCATAGGTAACTAGCCAGTGTTGCACAAATACACCATATATGAAGTGCACACCCCAAATGTACTATTTAGCACCCAGAAAATTAGAATGTTTACAACTGCGCTGTAAGTGCATTATTAGACGCATCGATTTGACTCTCATATATGAAGAGCAGCCCCCAAAATGTACTATTTAGCAGATTAACACCCAGAAAATAGGAATTTGTACAAGAGCGCTGTAACAGCAGTATTTGACGTTTCTATTTGACTATCAGGTATGAAGTGCACGCACCAAAATGTACTATTTAGCAGATTATCAGCCAGAAAATAAGAATGTTTACAATTGCGCTGTAAGCGCACTATTTGATGCTTCTATTTGACTCTCAGATATGAAGTGCACCCCACTAAAATACTGTTTAGCACCTAAAAAATTTTAAGTGATAAAACTGCAATGTGACAGCAGTGTTTGACGCTTCTATTTGACTCTCAGATATGAAGTGCACCCCACTAATGTACTATTTAGCACAAATTGACTTTTTAAAACTTCGATGTAACCGCGGTACAGGGAGTGCAGAATTATTAGGCAAGTTGTATTTTTGAGGATTAATTTTATTATTGAACAACAACCATGTTCTCAATGAACCCAAAAAAACTCATTAATATCAAAGCTGAATATTTTTGGAAGTAGTTTTTAGTTTGTTTTTAGTTTTAGCTATGTTAGGGGATATCTGTGTGTGCAGGTGACTATTACTGTGCATAATTATTAGGCAACTTAACAAAAAACAAATATATACCCATTTCAATTATTTATTATTACCAGTGAAACCAATATAACATCTCAACATTCACAAATATACATTTCTGACATTCAAAAACAAAACAAAACAAATCAGTGACCAATATAGCCACCTTTCTTTGCAAGGACACTCAAAAGCCTGCCATCCATGGATTCTGTCAGTGTTTTGATCTGTTCACCATCAACATTGCGTGCAGCAGCAACCACAGCCTCCCAGACACTGTTCAGAGAGGTGTACTGTTTTCCCTCCTTGTAAATCTCACATTTGATGATGGACCACAGGTTCTCAATGGGGTTCAGATCAGGTGAACAAGGAGGCCATGTCATTAGATTTTCTTTTATACCCTTTCTTGCCAGCCACGCTGTGGAGTACTTGGACGCGTGTGATGGAGCATTGTCCTGCATGAAAATCATGTTTTTCTTGAAGGATGCAGACTTCTTCCTGTACCACTGCTTGAAGAAGGTGTCTTCCAGGAACTGGCAGTAGGACTGGGAGTTGAGCTTGACTCCATCCTCAACCCGAAAAGGCCCCACAAGCTCATCTTTGATGATACCAGCCCAAACCAGTACTCCACCTCCACCTTGCTGGCGTCTGAGTCGGACTGGAGCTCTCTGCCCTTTACCAATCCAGCCACGGGCCCATCCATCTGGCCCATCAAGACTCACTCTCATTTCATCAGTCCATAAAACCTTAGAAAAATCAGTCTTGAGATATTTCTTGGCCCAGTCTTGACGTTTCAGCTTGTGTGTCTTGTTCAGTGGTGGTCGTCTTTCAGCCTTTCTTACCTTGGCCATGTCTCTGAGTATTGCACACCTTGTGCTTTTGGGCACTCCAGTGATGTTGCAGCTCTGAAATATGGCCAAACTGGTGGCAAGTGGCATCGTGGCAGCTGCACGCTTGACTTTTCTCAGTTCATGGGCAGTTATTTTGCGCCTTGGTTTTTCCACACGCTTCTTGCGACCCTGTTGACTATTTTGAATGAAACGCTTGATTGTTCGATGATCACGCTTCAGAAGCTTTGCAATTTTAAGAGTGCTGCATCCCTCTGCAAGATATCTCACTATTTTTGACTTTTCTGAGCCTGTCAAGTCCTTCTTTTGACCCATTTTGCCAAAGGAAAGGAAGTTGCCTAATAATTATGCACACCTGATATAGGGTGTTGATGTCATTAGACCACACCCCTTCTCATTACAGAGATGCACATCACCTAATATGCTTAATTGGTAGTAGGCTTTCGAGCCTATACAGCTTGGAATAAGACAACATGCATAAAGAGGATGATGTGGTCAAAATACTCATTTGCCTAATAATTCTGCACTCCCTGTATTTGACGCTTCTGTTTAAATCTCAGATATGAAGTGCACCCCACTAATGTATTAGTTTGCAGAATTCTTTCCTAAGCTGTCCCTCACAGCGGCAGCATCCTCTCCTTACACTCATAAGACCTCATGTGCGTGCGGCGCTACACGACTCCAGCTTATATATAAAGGCTGGGTCACATGCTGCACTTAGTAGGCATGTCTGTGATGGCTTCTAAGGGCACACAAGTCAAATGCTTGTTGATTGGCAGCCCTGCAGCCTTTCAAAATGCGCCATTAAATTGCCAAACACCGAACTCCAACCCAAACATATAGTGATATGTCCGTGTCCAAAAACGTAATGTTCGGTACGAACCCGAACTTTACAGTCCGGGTTCGCTCAACTCTACTGTAC